TTTACCTCCTTCTCTATATCCATACAAAATATCTATCAAACAAATAAAATTAAAATTTTCTTTTGAAAAATGAAACCATTCCATTAGTATTTTCTTATGACGTTGTCACGTTCAACTATCGTCAGTAAACCGACTTTACAGACAACCGATTTTTTTTGTTTGCACTTGGGACTGTAGTCATTTGCTACGTTTTCGCCCTTGTTAAATTAGGAAATGCTTCATGAGTACTGCATTGAAAGTGAAAAGAGATAATTGATTAAAAATAAGTAAACAGTGTAACGATTATAGGTTGCTTATGTACGCAAAGATCAGGGTCGGTTTTGTAACTCCCTAGTTGGAATTATATCTTTAAACAAGCGCCTTTGCTTCCCTAAATTCCTGAGAATATTCTTTAAAGTCCCATTCTGGCAACATGCTCGAATTCTGCTAGTCTACATCTCTTTCTGATACACATCAATTGGTGTAATGTTATTCCTTTTTCTTTATTAGTGTTCGCTGCGATTCCTACCTGACATCACTTTTCTATGTTTACGATATTTCCTATATAACGTCTGACGTGCGTAAAAACAGGCGTTCGGTTAGCAACCGCTCTAGGCTAGTTAGTAAGTTGAAAGAAGAAAGTAAAAGCGACAGTTTTATTGCGGACTATGCCAATTTTAAACGTCCCAACTATATAGTCAAATCGTTTTATTACCGCAACTGTCTTTTGCACCCCGCCAGGATCGGACTCGTAACTTTGTTTAAACCCAACACTGGTAAACAGAAATAAAAAAATTTCTGGTATTTTTTTTCAATTTATCACGGACATTTTTCAATAAAGGTAAACACTCCACATTTGTTAGATTATGTCACTCTAAAAAAGGAACTTTGAGGTCACCCCGCGATTAAGAGAAATTGTTGATACTCCCAGTTTAGATACGTCCAAGACCGTAAAAATATCGACGAGAATAAAATCATCATGAATATAACAACAAGTATTAGTGTATAAGTGAAAAAACTAACTACAGTAATTAGCATTGACATTTTAAATATTAATGGTCGTAAATTATTTTATAAATGGATATTTAGCCTAATTGTTTTTGTTGAAATTCACACACATTGCTTAATTATTTACCAGTATACATTTTGGAAATATTAGAACTGGTTTATTTTCCAACGCAAAGTACTGTAAGTAACGTTAAAATGATTCACGACTTGTCTGGAATGCAGACTACAAATTCTTGCAAGTACAGTTATAGTGTAATCACATCGAACTAATTAAAAATTGATAATTGTAAATAAACCATTTGCGGTAATACTTTTAAATCACATTTGCCGTTTTTAGATTATAATTGAATTTATTGAAAACAAAGAAGATTTGTACAGTGTTCGGGTCGAAAGTACATAGCAGAAGGTGGGATAACATGAATCATATTTAGGGTTGCCACCTTTTCAGGCTTTACATAAAGTATTTCTCGATTAAAAGGTTAAAAAAAAAGTACTCGGCATAAAAATAAANGTGTTTTATGGTTAAGTTAAAAATATTTTAAGAAAATATGCAGGTACCAATGTTTACGTAAGTGTAGCGAGAGGGTAAGAGCTTTGCTTACTTTTGCTGACAAGGGGAGGTTAAAATTACTAAACTTCAATTTACATAATACTTCAATGGCCTCTCACGAGGTGTTTTATGGTTAAGTTAAAAATATTTTAAGAAAATATGCAGGTACCAATGTTTTCGTAAGTGTAGAGAGAGGGTAAGAGCTTTGCTTACTTTTGCTGACAAGGGGAGGTTACTAAACTTCAGTTTACATAATACTTCACTACTAAAATTTAATTTCAGTGCATAAATTTCGTTGAATATCCATGTGTATTGTTTCACATTCAACTTTACCAAATACGCAGTCATCAATAAATTAGTAGGTAATAAAGAATCCAATAAAACCTTGCTCTTTTAGAACATCGTCGGGTTTCCTCATAACTTGCTTCTATTCAACTCTATAACAAAAAGATGGTGTGGTGTAATAATATAATAGTTGAATATTTTTATGCAATAAAGTAGAATTCGTGGATGAGGTGGTACCTATAGGTCATCACTGACCGAAATGGATGAAGGAAATGTCTCGACACCGACTCTGAAATGTTAAAACGATTGCTTACTGAAGTCCGTGAAAGTAAAATTGCCTTCTGCTATAATATAGGGAGGGTTCCAAGAATGCAGTGGGGTACCGTTTATATAAAACATTTACTTACATTACTTACATTTTAGTCCTTGTGATAGAGTGACGTACCCAAAATGAAATCGGGATTTATGTTAACTTGTTTTATAGCGGTGGTAAGTTTCATTTGTTTTTCTCATTATCATACGCATGGTTATAATTAAGATAATTAGCATAAACTAATTAAATTTTTAGTTAGATATATTTCTTTTATCACTCTTTAAAAAGTAATGTAACAAACTGTCGATTGCGTTAATTTTAGTTAATTTGTTGTGGATTAATCAATCATTAATTTTATCAATTTTATTATTTTTTTAATTTTATCA